ACTAAGGCGACCACGACAACGAATGGGCAACAGCTTCCTTCAATAGATCGCCACTCAGATGGCTTAGTTTTATTTTATACGTTTTTTTTTTCTTTTTTACTTTGTATTTTTCGCGTTGACGGCTTTTTTTCTCTTCTCGTTTAGAAACATTGCGGATGCAGTCGCTCCAAGTCGCCAAGAAGTCGGTCCGGTTTTTGTCTTGGCCATAAATAGAGTTCGAGTTGATGTCGATGTGGATGTGGATGGCGATTCAGTACGTTGCACAATGCACTTTCAGTTTCAGTTTTAGTTTCGAATTCGGATTCCGATTTCAATTCCGATTTCAACTCCAATTCCGATCCGTTCGCGGCAGCACATTGCTCATTTTCCATGTAATTCCACTCTTAATTGAATCATTATTTTATTTATTATTGTTCTAGATCCGCTTTTTGGAACCTAATTAGCATTTAATTCGAGCTCACTTTTGCTTGTGTCTCGATTGTCTCGGATCGCTAGATCCGTGCGCATAAATCAATAAGCTGGTGAACCCAATCGCCGGACAATCCACAATCCACTCGAGGCAACCCAGACTCGTGGCAGCGAACTTGATCTAATTCCTTTCCGAATTGCCATAAAAGTTGTTATGTTCGCCGTAATGATTATTTTTATTTTTATCATTTTTCGTTATTTTTTTAAGTCGGCCTAGGCTGGCAATAAGTTGTAAAAAATATGCTTGTAGTTTGGCAGGGTAGTCAAAATAAAGAGGTGTAAAAAAAGAATCGTTTGCGCTGTCAGCTCGTAATTTTTATGATGATGGAAATTCGGACAAGTGCCGAGGATCTCCAAAATGCTGAGGTCAAGCTGAATGGTTTGAATGTTTTTGAATGATTAAAAGAAATCGTAAATATTTTATTATTTATTTTACAATGAAATCTAATTTTCACTCAAGAATATGCCAAAAAAAAACAATGATATTTTTGCATAACGCCTAATTTTATTACACATCAGTGTTTCCACCGTTAGTCATCTTATTGCAGATCGGAATTTCCCAGACCATTTTCCAGCTGGCATGTCAAGTCGCTCACTTGCAGCTCAGCACGCTTACAATTGTGTGAATAATCGCATGGCAGACGGCGTGAGTGAGTGAGGATTGCCACCGAACGCCAGCCAGCCGACTTGTGGCCCTAATAAGCCTAATTATTATTTGGCTAATAAAGGGGCCGACTCAGAGACCAAGAGGCCTGGCCAAAACTCTAGGAAAACAGACCGCAACAGCGTGCACAAGAGTCACAACAGCCGAACATTAACACACTCCGAACAATTGGCCATAAATCAGCAGGCGGCCAATGCAAAAGGGGGGACTGTACTGCAGTTATTGTTGTCGTTATAATCAATGAATAACGTCGCATCGGTTGACCACAATTTATGGCGACTTCGAACATGAGAATCCGCATAGCGTCTAAAAATGCAAACCGAGAAGCCAAAACCGAAGCCGAAATGCAACTACAGCAGCTTGCAAACTGGAGGGAAATGGGGGTCAATCGCATGGCTTTGATGTTGCAACCACAACCACCCCTCTCCCTCTCTCTATCTTGGTACCTATAGGTATACCTCTACCACCCCCTAAATCCGAGTATCTGGACTAACAGAATTGTAACGCCCGTTGTTGTGGGCAAACAGCTGCAGATACCCCACAGACTTGACTGTGTTCCATGTGGCCAAACAACACATTTTCAGCAGAAAGTAAAAGTTTTCCAGCCTGCTAAGAAAAAACAAGACAAACTGCGGCTTAAGACTGGGAATATTCCATGTAATAGAGAAGACAACCAAGAATTGTGTTCTTTTTCTTTGTGGTCAAGGGCGATGCTCGAAAGGCGAATCCAGTTTGCCCATTTACGTATTCCAGTTAGTCTTGATTGGAAATTTACAAATTATCAAATATATTATCTAATGCTCATACTAAAACATTCTTACATTCTCTTTTTGGTGATTATATAATTATATGCTGATTTAAATTGAATTTAAATTGAGCTTTTTGTCTACCAACAAAGACAGAGTTTAATTCAAGAAATATAAGCCTACATTCAAAATATTTATTTCTTTATAAAAAAATTCTTCAGAAGTAAATCGATTGTTTACAAATTTTTGCAGACATATAATATGTTTCATCATATGAGCACATAAAAAATATTTAATTAAATAGTTATGTTTTTATGTATTTAAAGACGAAGCTCAAATAAAGATACAAACCATCAAATGCAAATTTAATGAGTGTAATAAAATTTCAAGTCATTAGTTTCTTCAAGTTAGCTACACAAATATATACAAAACTACTTAGTAAAAAGTTTTTTAGAATAGCAGTTATAATTGAAATAACGGCAGCAGAAGTGTCATATATATTTGATAGTTGTTCGACGGGTCAATAAGGAATAGACCATTAAAGCAGAGGCCGTTCCCCGGCAAAAATTAAACAAGCTTTTTTTATTAGTTCAGCTCTAAAAAGCTAAAGTGTTGACAAAACATTTTTAGCATTTGGAAAGCGGCTTTATACGCCGATCGCTAAATGTTTGTTTTAGTTTGATTGCCTTTGTAGAATCTGAAGCAGACAATAGAAAATGCAAATATCTTTCCCGCCTGCCCCGAGGCAAGACAATGGGATTTAGGATTAGTCAATCACGGTGCACGCATATCATTTTGGCTGTCAGACAGCTTGAACGGAGTCCAACATCCAACAGGTTTCATTTTGCGCATTAACAAATAATTATGCTGGCAATTGCCAAATCACGGACTCAGCCCCGGCTGATATGTAATCTGATTTTGTGCAAATGCAACTACACCCAGAAAACAAAATGGACTAAAAAGGGGCCTAATTACCTAAAATTTTAGGAAATATGGCCAGAAAAACGCGCCAAGGCCATGCATTACCTAAAATGTTGTCCATGTGGACTATATTTTGTACGCAGTCTTGAATTTATTTCTGGTAATGGTTACCTAAAAAAATGGCTAGTGGACTAGATTTTTAGGTCAGAATTACCTAAATATTAGGTATTTAAAAAAAAGCTAGGATTTTTACTATTGATAGTAACATATTTGATTATTTTAATTGCTTATATTGTATTATTCGGAAAAGCAAATATTTTATCTTTCTGAAAAAACAATCACTTTATTTTGTCCTCGGTGGGAATCGATCCCGGGTCTTCTGCGCGAGAGTCCAATAGGCTAGCCTCTGGTCTACGGAACTACTTAAAGGCCCTGCGGCAAAACCAAAGCCTGCTTCAAGGGGCTCAGGCGAATTCTATTTTTAGAATAGGGCACTATTACCTTAAAAGTAGGAAAATAGTCCACGTAGGTATTGATTTTATATATTGAAACTTTTCCATCACTAGCTTTAAGAAAAGTCTAAAAAATTTTTTAACATTAAACTTAAAAAACCGAATAATTTGTTTATTAATATTAGGGACCAATATTTGTATTAAGTTGTGAGTGATAATCGACTTTAAATTATTCCTAAATTTTAGGTCTTATGGACCAATTTGAAGGTTACGATGGCCTATAAAAATCTCTTTAGCTTTACCTAAAAAGTAGGAACATAGTCCACATGCTAATATTTTTAGGTAACCCATTACCTAAATCTGAAATTTTAGTCTATTTAAATTTTTTAGGTCATACGTTACCTAAAAAATAGTCCCACATTTCTCTGGGTGTACTTGAATTCACTCCTTCCCCTGCAACGGCGACCCATAAAGATAAAGGCCTTTCACTTTTGCGGCAGAGTGCAAATCGCAGATCTCTGATCTCACGCATGGCACCCGATCCAGTCACTGTTCCAGTCGCAGATCCATTTGCAATCCCAGTCGGGGTTCCACGCCACCTCACTACACTCGCCCTCCCGGCATTCCGATAATCGATTTCGATTGCAACTACGAAATATGATACCTGAACCGCAGTTGCATCAGTTTTCACCACCCTCAATCGCAGATATCTTTTCCGCCCTGCGAATCCAGGAATTCGTCATCAAAGAAGCCGATGAATTGCAACATAGTTGCTTCCGTTTTTACCTTGTCTTTGCAGGAAGTGCGAAATTGAAACCAGAGACATCTGAAGGTGCCTAACTATGACATCAATCGAAATTGAGACATCACAATCCTCCTTTCCTCGTCAGATTTTTTGATTTTTCTATTAATTTATAGCTGATGATGCAAAGACAACAGAGCTTTATTTATTTCGCATAAAGAAAAATCTAATAAAATTAAATAAAATAATAAAATAAATCTAAAAATTACTTTTCTTTGGGTACAAAATTCTGTTTCAAACAAGATAACCCTCTTTCAGGTTTTCTGATTTATAGGTCTCTAATTTAAATTGCGTTCCTGGTTTCTAAATATGATATTAATAAGCTACTTTTTTATTACCTAATGGAATCAAAACAAAATCTGATATTATTGATTTTAAAAATCAGGTTCGGACAAAACTTTTGACTTCTGAAACTTGCCAAACAAAACATTTCAATTTTGATAGACATATGACCTTTTCCAGAGATATATACTTTGGAAAGAATATGCTGAGAAATCCGAAGATTGTTTACCCAAACCCAAAAACATAAATAACGAAAAAATCGTAGAACGTTCTCCGGAATTTTCCCAAGATAAATTTCAATTCAAGATTTAGTTAATTTATTTAATTAGCTTTTTTATGATTCCAAATTGATACCAAATCTGATCAAATTTGCACCCATATTTTATGAGCCACTTTCAAGTCGGCGGCTAAAAGCACCAATACAAACAGAGAAGAGCCGCAAATGTTGGAGTATTGGTGGATTGCCATTGTATTGGTAAGCGCTTCCGCTTGGAACTTTCCGAGCCGCACTCACACATTCGCAAATCTTACCAACACAGGCAAAAACCAAGCCGAACTCTGAGCTTTGAAGAGAGCAGTTGGCCTGGCTTTTAGTGGGAAAAGCTTTTGGAAACCGCTCAGCGACTTGGCTTATCGGCGTTTTCAGTTTCGTTTTGACACAAAAACTCTTTGGGGGTATAAAAGCGCGCCACTGACCACAGACAGCATCCAGTCAAAGGTTTGGAATCGCTTGTGATTCTACAATCCTTCCACAGTCTATTTCGCTGTAAGTGAAGTTTAAGTTAAAATTAAAGTTTATTTCTGTTTGTTTTCCAAATACGCGTAAAACTCCAAGTGAAACCTAAAAATATAGTTTAAGCTGTGATTTAAAAATTTTAAAACTGTGACCAGACTTGTGCTTGAAATTTGTTTAACTTTTTAAAGAATGCTTGTAATTGATTTTGCTTCCCTAAGAATGCATTGTTATTATAACTATTTCTATTCGAAAAAAACCCATGTTGGTTTCCTTGTAATTAATTCAAATTTTCCTTTGTTTACTTACAGCCTTGGCAAGTCCCAACAGACTCCACAATGAAAGTCTTCGTAAGTACAATAGACATATAGAATCTAATTTCCAATCAGAATTCAAGAAATTAAATTTGATATATGTACAGTACGCAAATGTGTGAACTAATGGCATTGGTAGTCATATTTAAGTGTGGGAAATCTAGAAAACACTCAAAGAATTGCAATTGATTGCATATAGAACAATATCAAATTAAACTTATTTTCCGTATAGTCATGTAGGTTTTTTGCAATGCAAATATGAAATATCTTCAGCTTAAACAACTTCCTTAAACAATCCATGAATTGCATTGCTCGCAAACGGGCAACTTCAACTTGAAAGACATGGTTAATAAGCGTCTATTAACTGAACGATCATAATTGGAGTGCCAGCCACGTCTAATACCAGGCCGCAATCAACTGGGTTCATGTGCCCAATTAAAGCCAACTCCAAATGCACTCGCCGTGGAATCGCTGAATCGCCGACTGCTTATGCGTAACGTGACGCCAGTCGGCGGTAGTCGGTGGGCGGTGGGCTGAAAGTGGGTGTGGCAGTGGGCGAAGTCTACTTTTGGGGCGTAACTCTCTGCACTGCATCATTTATGCGCGGCACGCACGAATTTCACTTGACCATTTGAATCGCAAAAGAGGGCGATGAGACAACGGACGACACAATGCGAATCGGGGCGACATATCGCCTTCGCTTTCTAATGCGATTACCTAATCGATCAAACTAGGCAACGGGTCATAAAAGTCTGCCTTGCCTTGCCGTTAGGTAATATGCTTTGTATATTTCAAGACAGAATTGGTTCAACATAAACAACATGATAGGAGAAGAGAGGATATAATAGGATATGATAGAATATGATAGGATATGATATGATACGATAGGATATGATAATATAAGATATAATGGTATATGATAGGATATGAAAGGATATGATAGTTGGTGATAGAATATGATAGGATATGATGGACTATGATAAGATATGATAGAATATGATATGTATACAAGGGGATATGATATGGTAACTGTGAAGATAATACTAAAATAATATTACAAAAATTTTTTATTTTATTAAAAATGTGTTTAAATTTAAAATTGGTAATAAAAGGTTTTATTATTCCAGTACTCATCTAAAATCTAACAAATTTAAAACATTTAAAATAATAGGAAATAAGATATATTATGTAAAGTCCCATGTAGAGTCTGATATTTAAATAAATTATCCCAAGTTTTATATTTTAGTAAATCAAACCACTAGCAAATTAGAAACCTTGCATTATTTCAATGCTTTTGTCAAGGACTACAGGTCATTTAGTCTATACCTAATCCTAACCCACCGCACCCAATCATTCCATTGCAGATCTGTTTAGCCGCTCTGCTGGTGGCCTCCGCCTGCGCCAGCAAAACCGAGGGTGAGAAGGTGCCGCTGGAGAAGAAGCTGGACAAGCGCGGTCTGCTCGACCTGGGCTACGGTTACGGCCACGCTGGCCTAGACACCGGCTACCTGGGCCATGGCTCGATCTCCGGACACGGCAGCTACGGACATGGCTACGGACTGACCGGACACTCGGCTCCCGCCGCCATCGCTGTGGGCCACAGCGGTCCAGCGATCGCCGTCGGACACACCGCCCCCGCAGTGGCCGTCCACCATGCCCCCGCCCCCTATGTGATCAGCAAGCAGGCCGATGTCCACAAGACCATCACCATCACCAAGGGAATCCCAGTGCCCGTGCATGTGGACCGCCCCTATCCCGTCGTTCATGAGAAGCGCGTGCCCGTCGAGGTTAAGGTGCCCGTGCCCCAGCCCTACGAGGTCATCCGTAAGGTTCCCGTGACCGTTAAGGAGTACGTCAAGGTGCCCGTGCCAGTGCCCCAGCCCTACGAGGTGATCCGTCACGAGAAGGTGCCCGTCCATGTGCCCGTCGATCGTCCCGTGCCCGTTGAGGTGCCCCGCCCATACCCCGTGCCGGTGGCCAAGCCCTATCCCGTCTACGTGGAGAAGGCCGTCAATGTCCAGGTGCCCGTCCATGTGGACCGTCCCTACCCAGTCTACGTGAAGGTGCCCGTCGTCTCGCACTCCGTGGTGAAGCACGCCCCCACCGTGGCCGTCAGCAGCTACCCCGTCAGCGCCATCGGACACAGCGGCTATGGACACAGCGCCATCGGACATGACGCCTCCGTCTATGCCGACCATCATGGTTACCACAAGTAAGCGAAGAGACGGAAACGGAAACCGGAAGCGGGCTATTCCATTGGAGCATAGAGCGGACTTTCTGGAAATGAGCCGAAGGAAATCTAGCAACATTTTCAATCAGCCTACCCTTCCCATCCGATCAAAAGAAAAACACTTACAACTAAATATACCCCCGGGAAGTCCAACTTCCGACCTGCCACTCTCTGTAGCTGTTAAGAACCAAACCCCAAGATGAAACAAGCAATGCCTTTTGTAAATTATTTCCAATCCAGCCATCCAATGGAAGCCATTGTGCTTGGCCCAGAACACCCAGGTTTAGGATAAATACCAGCTAACCGTTTGTAAATTTCACCATTTATGGACCGTTTAGCTGGCCACGTTTATCAGTGAAAGGTTTCGGCGCACAATGAATTGAAAATGGATAGCAACAGAAATATCTATGTGAAAATCTATTAAGGACAAATAAAATAAAATGTATAAAATAAATGATGATGTCTTTGTCACGGGTTGGCTGCTGGAAATAGTTATCATCGGGTTCTTTGTTATCGAATCTTGTACATATGTATTTTGTAAATAAAGATTATGTCGTTATGAATCTGGTGAATTTTTTAAATGGGTGGATACTCTGGAATTTGTGCCCTAAAACGAAACCATTTCATTAAAATCGATAATTTTACAATGGATTTTAGGCGTAATGGAAAATGTTTCCATAAATGGCTATTTGGGCACAGAGAAATTCAATGACTATAAAATATAAATAAAAATGTATTTAAATTAAACTCTAGCTTTCTGCAGAATTTCTTAAATAAAGATAAAATATGAAAACATTATAAATTTTTTTTTATCTCATTTGATATAAACTTTTCAAAAACTTCAAAATGCCAAAAGAAGACTTCAGACATGAAAAATTAATTATTTATGCTTGTAATTAAGGGCAGCTTAAGCTTAAATAAATCAATTTTACTTAGTCACAATATAAACTGATATCTTGACGCCTTCCTGGTCCTTAAAGCCGAAAATCCTCTCACCGTTCCAGTGACATGGGTTGACATGACCCAAATTGGCAATGCATTTGCATTGAGACGGAAGGAAATATCAAGTCGTGGATGCCACCGGCAGACAAGCTCATAGGCCAATCGATTACAGGTCGAGTGATGTAAAAAAGCGAGATGAGCGCTGATCAGATTAAGAAAAGACGTGCGCAAGGTCGACCGGAGCAGCAGTCGGTAGCCAAAGATGACGTGCACTTCTCCATTCCTATCCTATCCAATACAATCCCATTCCCAGCGTCAAAGTCAACGTCAGTTGAGTTCATTTAAAAGTCGCTCGTAAATTTCGAGTAACATTTAGCCACATGCGTAGGACCGGCGGACGGACAAAAGAAGAGTAGAGTAGACACTTGATATTTAATGTCGGTTTTCAGCTTTTTACGACAAGTGAACGAACTAAGCGGGGTTTTTCCTCATCAAATACAAATACCAAAATATCAACTTTCAAACTGCAAAAAAAGTTCTGAGCATGTTTGCGTTTGATGAATTGAATCAATTAAGTTTAGGGCTGTTTAGCATTTGTTTACCTCAAAAAAAGGCAAACAAACAAACAAAAAATTAGACAAGAATCCGGTTCGGGCCATCTTACTTATTACCCAAACGAGGGCAATTAAAACAGTTTTTCTAAACTTGCTTACCATATATTAAAGATCAGCGCATTTATTTTCGGGATGATCTGTTTAATGTTCGAGGCCTTTGGCCTCTGGGCGACTTTGGGCTTACGAACCACTGATCCCAAGGACGCTGCGCGTGCCAAAGACGGAACTGAAACAACTTTCTAATAAAAAGTCACCAGTTCTTGTTAATTTCTGACTTAATTTCCTTCGCCTTCGATTTAGAAACAAAAGAGAGCCGATCTCGGTGTCTCTGGATTAGAACAGAAATCACAATCAGAAATTAGAATTAGAATCAGAACCAGTTCCAGGCCAAAGAATTCATTTGGCTTTGCCCGAAGGTCGGCTGCTTTGTGGACAGCATTTGCACACACATCCATTTTTGGGGGCGTGGCTGGGGGCACACCGCACTTACATGCACTGCCCTCGTAATTCTGTATTTTCAACCATAATTTGTTATGAATTATATTGCTCTCGTGCTTGCCACTCGTCGTCGTCGTAGGTGTTGTGCAAATGTGCATATTCCCATTCTTACACTCATTGAGTCGTTGTACCTACATTAGTTTCGTTCTTGACTTGGTTGGCGTTTCGGGTTATGCAACGAATGCAATTACAAAGCGGATCTCTCTATCAAGCTTAATTGTCGCCGAGCGACCCTAACTAATTACATCGAATTATTTTGAACAAGAATGCTCCAAGTTGATCAATACCACATTTAGCTACATAGTAATTAAATGAAAATATATTTTAATGGTTAATAATTACATAGAATGAATAAGACCTAATCTAGAGGAACGGAATAGTCAAAGGTTTCTTTCATGATCTTGAATATTTAGGAAAACATTAAAAATCTATTAATGATTATGAAATGTATAAAAATTCTATGTTTATCATGTCAGAAACAATTTCTAAAACTGTTAATTCCTAGGCTTCGTATTATCAAATCCAATTAAGTTCGGAACTCAACAGCATATCATCAATATACATTAATTTGCATTGGCAACATACGCGATATCAGCGAAGCTCATAACTGGAGCACTGTCAACTCATAAATTATCGGTTCAGTATCCGCCCATAATCGAAAAAGAGATCCCACACACGCCGCATCGATGGGGTCCCAGACATCTAAAGGAACTGGCTGAGTTGCAGCATTTACGCAATGATAACCATTCCGGCCGAGAGACAAGACAACAAATTGCGCCAACCGACGACGGTGGCCAATTAAAACCATATTTCTTGCGCCGATCGGCTGAGAGATCGGTGGAAATCGGTTGATGATGGGGGAGGTACGCATATTTGCTGAAACTTAATTAATTGCCACAAAATGACGGAGACACAATCGCAACGGCGGACGACAAAAGATGGCAAACTGAACAGACCGAATTTTCGCAATTTTCAGCTTTTCGGTCTGAGTCTGAGAAAAGGCCACCTAAAGACGTTCCACAAATTGCCAAATGCGAAACTTTTGCTCTAATGAACGACCACTATCCAGTCGGCGGCGGCGTTTTGAAGGTCACCGCCAACTTGTCCATCGCCAAAATCCAAGCCGAATGCGTCTGCAACGTCAAACAGTTGTCGACCGATTGCGAAATGAATTGGTTTAGTTTTAGTATTTGATCGTTTTTTTTTCTTTTGCCAAAATGCATGTCTGTTTGCCAGCAGTTTGCACAGAAATCACGACGACAAAAAAATAGCTTGCACCAGTTTCTCGATCACAAAACTCAAAACCCAAAACCGAAACCAAAAACCGAAACTCAAATTGCGAACGTAATCGAAGTCGCCGGTGCGCAAGTCAAGTGAAGCGAGCGTCTTTGGCAATCTGGAAATCCCAGTGACTCCTCTCTACCCAATCCATTGCGAACCCCCCTCGCCAAAGACCCTCCCACAAGATCTCCCCATATATCGTATGTGTCTTCTGTTTTTTCTCTTTTTTTGGTCTGCCTGCCCTGCAATAGTGCTTGCCGCTTCATTTGGCCAGCCAGTCGGCAAATAAAATACTTGTTATAGCCACAATGCAATTGACATGGTGCATGATCGCATTTCAGCTAAATGCTAAGACTATTGACCCCACGGCGATGCGATGTAAAACCAAACAATGCCGAGGAATGTTAGCTGAAAATATTTGTAAGCTTTGTCCCATTTATTACTTTACATTTTTGTATTTATCATATTTTTAAATATTAATATGAAAATTAATTATAATAAGAATAACCATTACTAAAAAATTTTAAATAAACCATTAAAGACTACCAAAAAAAAATAATAATAACCTTCAACAATCTAAATTAGGTTAGAATTAGTACGATAAGAAATCATTAAAAATATATATTTAATTTAATTTATTTGTATTCGAATTTTGAAAATAATCTAATAAATATTTATTTATTAATATTTATATTTTAAATACATACAAATTCAGAAATGCATATATAAAATATCTTTCGAATATAAAAAATCAAGTACTTAATAAACAAACTTCCTCCTTGCCTTTAGAGTTCCTTAGTTGGCTTTCTAAGCAGCCAGCCGCACTCCTGATCATATCTCTAAGTCGACTTATGACTACCTGTCCGTACTCATCTCCGCCCAAATCTGATGGTGAATTCAAATTGCAAACAATTAGGCGCACAAATGCTACCGCATCGCATTCAATCGGATTATGCAATTGCTCTTTTGAATTATGACCGTAAATTGTGGTCTGGCCTAGTCTCTCGGCCACGGGTGTGTTTTTCTCTCGCACGAAATGTGCGCGAATCCTTTCACCTGCGTCCAGCGAACGAAACAAAAGACTCAGGCAACGAACTCGAATCCAGCGCGATTTATTCCCAGTTTTTTCAGTTTGCCATTTCCGTATTGAAAGTGTTTTTCTGCGGAGCCATGGACACTCCTTCGGGTTCTCTATCTAAGCAGCTAACTATGTATGTCAAACGGCGGCCAACAAAAGGAGGCCAACGCCTTTTGAGGTCCACAGTCTAGTCGAGTAGTCGTCGCTTAGCTCCAAATTGAATAGGAAAATCTCTTGGAAAACATCTTTCCCAAAAGCCAAAGAAATCGAACGACACCAGCGGCAGATTCCCAAATCTGGCTTTGGAACCATGGAAACCATGGAAACTGCAGGAGTCCAGTCCAGCCAACTACTGCAGCTGCTCGAAAAAGCGAAGTTGCATAATTTTTGTTTTTGCATTTAGGCGCTGTTGCTGTTGCTATTGCTGCTGTTGCGGCGGCTTTTGGAGTCACCCAGTTAGTGTGTCACTGTGGCATTTGCAGCGAACTGGCTCCGTTTTCTGTCCATTCATTGTCTTCTGTGGGATGGTGAGATGGCTGCTGCTGCTGTTGATATTAGTAATTTTTTATTTCACAAAGCCGAGTCGAGTCATGACATGTTGTTGCAGTCAAATCATTTGCCTAATTTTTCATTGATCCCCGTGGGCGTGGCAGTGGGTACTTGGCTAAATGTCAATCGAGCAATTGAAACTGTCTGTTACATGAGGTTAGTTAGATAAATTAGATTTTAACGCAGAAGAATGAGGGATGACAAAACAGTTTCACACAGCACAACTTTTCAATTGAATCGTTAATCATACAATTATAGAAGAGCTATAAAATATTGCAGTTATTATATTGGTTTATAGATTGGCCTTTGGAGAAATACTTAGCAAATAGAAGATTTACTAAGAAAAATAATTATTAATCGTACATAATATAGTTCTTAGGAAACCAATTTTTAAATGATTTATATTTTCTTCATCTTACGAAATATTTCATTTCTGTTTTTGGTGCTGACAGCTATATGTGGCTTGGGAAGTTTTATGCTTGCTCCATAAAA